CTATGGTCTTGTGCAGCTGGCAAGCATTTTTGTCATTTCTTAGGCCAATTTGCAAAAATTGTTAAGTTTTCCCTAGAATACCAATTTTAAAAGTTACATGAAAAGATACAGTTAAAAGACATATAGATAAAATGAAATATTAAAAATACTGGCATTTAGTGGGTAGAGACTAGGGATTCTGTTAATCATCCTACAAGTCGCAGGACCATCCTAACACAGAACCATCCAACCATAAAATATCAGTAGCTCTAAGGTTGAGAATCCCTGCCCAGGTTGAGAACTCCTGCGCTAACTAATACGATGACTAATATTATCGTTTTCCACAGCTTTACATTTTAGTTTTATAGAAACAACTCTCTTTGTTTTTGTAAATTTAATTAAGTCACATAATTATAGAAGCAGGTTCAACCGGAATAATTTTGGGTACAAAATACCATTCTTCTGGAGGGAGCTTAAGTGCATATGGGACACTAGAGACAAGCTTACTAACCACCAGCTTTCAGCATGTCATACGTGAGACTGAGAGAGATTGGAGGGTACTCCTGAATCTATGATTTGGTAGAGTATAGTAAGTTAGGAGAACTACATGTAAATATGTGTGTATCTGTATATTTACTTTTTCCTCTCATTTTATCTTCCAATAGAATTTTAAATAATGGAATTATTTAAAATGCATTTTATGTAACTTTTAAAGATACTTATTACAATTCAGTATTTTTGGATGTATTGCTATAGAAAGATCTTTAATTTCCTGATGAATAATTTTCTTTTAATTAATTCTATTCAATTATATTAATATTATTTTGTGTAGTTTTGCAAATTTAGGTCAAGTCATACAACAATACATCACGTGTAAGTACTGGAATATTTTTCAAAGTTTACAGAATTAGAAATAGATTGAAATGGAACATTTGAGGAGAGAGAATTAAAAATTAATTTGAAAAGCTTCCAGGTTCTGTGTTTTTCCCTTAAAAATTCCAAGGACAGAGCTAAAAATGTCCCCCTTTCCCCATTAAAGTGTAATATAGTACATATTGCTCTGCAGGAGCCTCAGACTACCCTGTAGGTATTTTGGTAACTGGCTGTGTGGGATCCTGTTGGAGAATTCAGAATCTACCTGTTTGGATGGAAATTTAAACTCAATTGATCTTTGTACAGGTTAATTTTTTAATCACTTTTGAAGCTTTTTTTTTAA